CAAACTCCTCTCTTCTGTTGGGATAAACCGCACAGATGACATCCCTGTAAATACCAAACGCTAGTACAAATTCTGGGATAGTCAGTTTCCTGTTCAGGCGGGCATCCCTAGATCTAACAATAACAGAAACATCATCATAAGCATACGTCTTATGTTCCACAATGTCCTGGGAGGCAATCAACAGGGAAGCCAGGTTGACGTCTTTACCTTCCAGGATATCCCTTTTGATATGCTCAGGTATCATGTGGGCCGGGCTAACTTCCTGGTCATCCAGGGTGCTGGCTGGAGCAACTAATGGCAAGGCTGGTGTTTGTACCGCAGCCGCGGGTGGCCCTGCTAGAGTGAGGGCCGTGGTGACCGACTCAAGTTTCTCCAGTCTGGAGTTGACCTTGCCCATGGATGCCATGAGTGAGGATAACATGGCATGTATGTCCCCTGGGATGGACTGGCTAGATCCTTCCCCGGCTTCCATGTTATTAGTTGATGTGCGTAGCAGTTTGAAAAGTTCTGCCTTCCTTGCTGTAGCGGGGTAGGGGATTTGTTGTCTCCTTAATTCCGTGGTTATGCGCGGGATTGTCCAGGATCTAATTGATGCTGGACTAGCTAGCTCTCCTCCTTGTGTGGGAGTGACAGCTCTAGCCGGGGTGCTAGGCAGGGAGAAAGCCTCTACCCCTTCCTGAGACATACTATAAATAAAACAATAATTAGTATATAGATCCACCAAATTGTACTGGCAGGCTAGCTAGGCCGGATGGCGAAAGTATTATCCTTGTTTGGTGACAGGTGAGGCCCTGCTAATTGCCAAGCGGCTTGAGAGGCTCTATCTATGCGTTGGCGCGAGGGGTTATTGAGGCCACTTGACGTAGTGGCAGGAGTTTTAGGCCTCTCGGTGACTGTACGACAGAAAACAGGGGAAGGGAGTGACAGGTGAGGCCCTCTCTTTGCAACATGCGAGGCGGCTAGCTAACGTGTGGCCCGATGGGTGTTTGCCTCCGAAACGTTTGAGGCGGGGTGTTGGCCTCGCGGGACCACTAACTGATGGCGACAGCCAAGACGGGGTAAATACCTATTGGGAATCCTGTGACCCTATTGCCAGTACTCTAAACTAGGGGGATGAAATGAAATGTATGGTGGAATACCATATGAGCAGGTGTACGTACCTGGTAGTATGACAAATCACAGGAATAAACCATGTGGAGCAATTATATAAGCTTGACAGCCTAAAAATGGGTAAAAGAGAGTAGTATGATGAGTGTGGAATGTGAAAAGAAACAGACTTATAGTCTGTAGCAGTAATGTATTAGAATTATGTTGATACCATGGGAATAGCTATGAGTGGCTCAGAAATGTTTGCACGCTTGAATAAGACACCTGAGGGAGGCCGTGGCCTATGTACAAACAATCTATGTGTTACGTGATAATGGTGTGTAAAGGAAAACATGAAACGTAGGTTATATACATATGTATATGACTGTGCAGGGAACGTATGATTGGTTGGATCAGTACGTGTGATTCAACCCAGGTATGCATAAAAAGGATTTAAGCCTTATGTGTCATCGTCATGACAGAGAAATGAGGCCTGTAATATACGCTGAGTGAATTGAAATTAAATGGATAGTTATAAACTCCTGGCGTGGGAGTTCAATGACCTGTACAGAAATGTAGCTGGTTTTATAGAAAGGGACATGGATGAGGTCATGGCCTATTTTACACAGCGTTATGTATGACATGTAGCAGAATAACCAAAGGCAGGGATACCCCAAAATGATTAAAATGATGTAAAGTGATGTATATCTATATGATATATTTGTATAGAAAAGACGTATCAACCCGAGAATTATTGCCTAAATGAACCTATATCCTTTGTATGTGTTGTAGTAATAACCCAGAAGTGAGGGCTGTAACATAGGCTGAGTCCATTTGTATAAATGGATAAGTACTGCAGACCCCTAAAGCGTGGGAGTCAAATGGTATATACAGAGAAGTGGACTTGATTTGTGGACGTAATACAATACTGACAATATTTAAAAGTAATCAAAATAATCTATTTAAACAAGCAATTCTTAACCGAACGTTATGTACACATGAAATGGTGAATATAATTCATGAAAGGATTATACGTGAACACACAGAAAAGCCGAAAGCAAATGTGAGGGAAACACAGAAGTTAGAATAGTTTAACCGTATGATTTATGCGAACCGTAAGCGTGTTTGAGCGTAGTGAAAATTTGCCAAACGGCAAAACAACCGAATGATAATTCGTTTCAATATTACATGAAATAGGATATGCGAAATGACTATTGAACGATTAACTATGTTCAGCCGAATGACCGTGCGAATGAAAAAGCCCGCGAATGGCTTGAAACATTCGTGTCATAACCAGGGAAAAAGCCGTAAAGCGAGGACCCGTGCTGTACCGTACGCCGTGGGAACCGGTCCTGGCGTGACAGGAAGGTCTGACTTACGGTTTAGGAGTCCCTGGGACGCGATCTACGACGGAGACCGGAGTCAGAAGAGCTGGACGGGCGGAAGGCCTGAACAGGATTCCTGGACACAGCTAACGTGGTGAAAACCTCGTGGATACTGAAACCAAGATGGCGTCTGAGAGAACCCGGAAGTGGATCCTCATTCAACGCTGACCTCGAACGGTAAGGAGCAAGGTAAGGGGAGTGCCTTAAGTAGGCTAGGGGTAGAAAACCAGCACCTCCCACAAATGCAGGCAAATTGCCTTAATACATATATATCTCTGCTCTTGAAGCATTTCTTACTGTACTGAACCATGACCACTTAAAATCAATGAAGTTGTAGTAAATTAAGCCTATTGGTGTAACCCTTTAATAGAAATTGATACTACCATTACTCTAATCCCATGTTCTAAACTCTAGAGCTCGTTTAAAGTGATTGTTGGCCTCTCTGTGTCTTTTCTGTCCTTTAAAGATCCTTTTCTTGGTAGAGCTTGAGTAGTTGGATCCAGGGTCCACTTTGTCATGCAAACATGCTCACTAGGACACCGAAGCATGTGAATGTTATTTTGTGTCCTTTTTGTATTACATTACGTCTGAAGCTCTAAGTCGTGGAATTCCTTGTCGTCAAATCCACAGCATGGCCAGTGATCCTTTAATTGTGGTATTTCTATTCTAAAAACATGGTAGAAACTTTACAGTTTACAGTACAAAGGCAGTTCAATTGTGTCTTTATTTGAGGCAACGTCTCATCTTTGTAAACTTGCAACTTCCACAGCTTTAACATTGAATATGTATGCATTCAAGATATTTTACTTTTATTGTTCTAACGTAACACATAAATCATCTTAAAATAATTCATTTTGAATTTTAGCATAATAAAACTAAATATTGAAAAGAAGAAAATGCAATGTACTATTTGAAATTCAAAGACCTAACAAATTTGTTCTGGAGTATGAATAATTTTTCAAAGTACTATATATAAATCAGTAATCAAATATATGGTGAGATGAGAGCTTGACTTGTGCTCAAGAAAAAAAAAACCTTATGAATTATGTGACAAGTTTCAAAATGATATAAAGTTGAGTTAAATCTGTTTGTGTCAGAAAATGCAGTCACATGTCGCTCTGTGGAGGGAATATAAATAATGAAGTGAAAGTTTGACGATAATAGATCTCGTTTATTTTCAATTTATTTAAACAAAAAGGTTGCGTCTTGGTCTTCTCTCTGGGTATATATTTTCAGGTTTATATCTTAGCAAAATGTTAACTTTGCTGGAGGAACACTCTATTAATAAAATATGAAGCATTTATAAATATGGAGAACAGTGCATTATTCAATCCCACAACATTCTGTGAAACAAAGGTATAAAATTACACCCTTGAGCTGAACAAAATGAAAATATCTATCACATATAATTTTGATGTGCAACACAACATGAGTATATTGTAATGGATTGGTGATAATTTATTACACAGTTATTAAATTTAAAATATATAACGTGCACATTTGAATGCCTCGTTAATGTGCAACAGGTGTCATTTTGGGAAATAACATGTTAGGGCAAACAACCATAAATCCGGTTATGCTTTTTCTTTTAATTCTCTCAAGCAATAGAGGGGCATAATAAGAGGGGAAGGGAGGGAAACTGCAGTACTAATAATAAAAATAACATAACACATGTTTGATAAAACATACATCTCAATGGTGTGAAAAAGTTAAAAAGTTTCATTAAAAAAAAAATTTCTAGTTGGGCACGAACCTCCACTGATGGCAACTGTTAAAGGGATTCTTTACACTATAGTTCCCCCTTGCAGCTCCCATCCTCCCACATGAAAAGGATTAAAATCCAATGGAAGGGTTAATGCACATGTGGGGCAAGTGCCGCAAGTCATTGAGCCCTCCCCATAGGAAAGCATTTCCTATTTTTTTTTTACTGATGCTGGATGTCCTCATGCACAGCGTCAGGCAATCAAAAGTCAGTTAGCCACTAGGAAGTTTCTCTAGTGGCTGTCTGATTGTCAGCCACTAGGGCAGTCTTAATCCTGCAATGTAATTATTGCTGTTACTTTAAAACAGGCGGCAGGGACATAGCAACCAGACCACTTAAATGAGCTGAAGTGGTCTGGGTGACTATAGTATCCATTTATAGAATGACCACTCAAATAAACAACCTTGTAAACTTTTTAAATCTTTGAACGGTAATCAAGTGAGCAAAGTAGCAGTGTAACATAGCGGTCAGAGGCAGCTGAAGATAGCTTTAAATGATTAAGATCTCATTAGAAATGAATGCAACTACAGTAATGATCGACATATAAAAATCACTTTTTACTTATTACATCCACGTAAAAGAAGCATTTGACATTTTTTTCATTATATTTATAACTCAGTATAGGAATAGGTTAGACGTATCATAATAACATCACTTATGATAATTATTATAATATATTTTATTATTATTTTTATTATTATTTTTTATTATTATTATTATTTGAACAAACACTAGTTTTAGTTTTCAAACTGGAAGCATGTCACAATTACACACACACATATTTAGCTGACAAACCCAGTCACACAACAGATTAACCACAGTGAACAATATATATTTTGAACATGATATATAAAGGTAATTTGGTACAGTTACAAAAGACACAGTCATATAAAGTTACAAAAGACTGTATACGTCCAATAATACATTCCCAATACCCATATTAGAATTAATCTTATTATTGGGCCAGTTTACAATTAAATAATCCAATATGAATCTTGTACTCAAAGACAATTTGGGTGCAATTAAATTAATTATTCCTTAAAGGGATACTGCCACTTCCCAAGATTTTTAATATTATGATTACTTAAACCTATATTTAATAACAAATTATGTATTTGTAAGGAATGAAAAATAAAATTAAATGTAGAAATCTATACCTCTGTATCTTAAAACTGGGTGCTGCCATCGTAGCTTCCTCTCAATCACTATTATAAATTCTGTCCAGTTGTTAACATAGAGAGGGAGAGGATAAATTAAACAGTGTTTCTGTTTCCCTTCTTCATTAGGAATGTTTCCCTGGCTCTGCCTAGTCTGAACTGGATTATGACAGCATTTGCTGAATATTTAATATAAATATAAATGAAAAGAAAGCATCTCATGGGGAGAAAAAAACTATACACAAGCTATGTGTTCTTTTTTATTTATTTTTTTGCAAGGGTATGCATTCCAGACAAGTGACACTTACTCTTTAACTTGGGATTTTAAATGGAGTTTCTGTAAATTAAGTGACAGTACAATGCAAAGTACAGCAAGATAACATTTTTCATCCCTCAAACAGCAGCCAAATTACTGATGTATATTACATATTGCCACAAGCTTTCATGGTTTCACCTGCAGCTTCACAGCCCAAGCTATTTCTTCCGTGAGACCAGAATATGTGACACTATTTACAGCTTTATTTTGTTGGCTTGTTTGCAGATAATGAAAGCACAGAATAAGACAAAGCATTGTGAGCATCAATTGACATCTCTGATCAAATAGTATAACTCCTGGCTGCTTCATCCTATGAAGCCAATCACTGGATTCCCATCGTAATATGGATAAACTGTGAATACAATTTGAAGGGTTACTCCAACTCTTTTAAGTGTATACTTTTTTTAATGTAGCATATCCTATTGGGCATTGCTAGTTAGGTCCCCCCCCCCCAAATTATAAGGTTAAAAATAAAGAATAAACGTACCTGGACTCCAGAATCCGGTGAAGCTTCCTATGCTGGTTTCCATAACCCATCTGATGTGACTTGCTGTCTCATGTGGTCTCATAGAGAAACATTTGTTTGAACTGTTTTATTGCGGTTTGCACCGACGACAGATGTAATTGTTGCACAGAGTTTCAGGCTGCCTAAGTCACTTGTAACTTATCCCTCTGCACCAGGGCCAACTGCTGCCTGTTTCAAATATACTGCAAATCTATGAGGAACTAGATTTTAAGAGGCACTCTTAAGCACCAGAGCCACAGCAGCTTAATATAGTAGTTTTAGAGTCTGTTCCCTTTGCTCTGTGAAAAAGGCAGTGTTTACATTTGTCCCTAAGAACACCTTTAGTTGCTGTCACTCTGACAGCTGCAAGAAGTGCTTCCTATTAGAGTCCTGCAATATTTAGAGGACCAACGTTAATCATCTTCACGCTCATGAAGATATCAAACATTTCCCATACAGATGATTTCATATAATGCATTCCTATGAAGAGATCATTATAGGTTAAGGAATTGCTTCACTTGTGCAATAGAACCCCCATGCTTCTCTACGAAAAAAGATTAGATTGGCTATGATCTTGGATAGCACGGCTAGACCCCAAAATATTGGGCAATGCAATCTTATGGTAAAACAGTTCTAGAGTCACTGTCAATATGACTAACACTCAGTTACCTTGGATACTGGTAACAACCTCTACAGAATAATTTTTAGATGTTCTACCCTGTTTTGTCTAAAAACTAAGATGTGGGTTGAACAACTTTATTTCTTTATTTACTTATTTGGTTTCATTTTGGATTAAGCTCATTAGTTCTCTGTTTTTCAGAGTTTATTTGTGCATTTCTTATGAATCTGTCGCTATCCAGTTAGACCCCTTTACTGATTGGCGTCACAGCAAACTTACCAGTTTGCAATAACATTTTTGGATGTAACAACAATTAAACTGGCTTCCAGGTCTAGTGAACTGGTTCACTTTTATATAGCAGAGATGATGGGATTTATAAGAAAGTGAAAGACTTGCTGGGAAAATGCAACAAAAAGCAGATGAAAATGAGGGATAAAGAAAAGGATGGCATAAGTAAATTTTGCAATTAGAGGAAAAGGGCTATGGAAATGTTGTTATGATTTTGTCAATACTATTATGCTGTTGTGATAAAAATTTTTGCCCTGTTTAGCTCAAGTTGTAAACGTAATTGGTGTTTGTTTTACAGGTTCCAGAGAAGATGATATTCATAACACTCAGGAGAAAACCAAAATAAAAACATGAATTTTTACCTTTTATAGTAATGAAGTACTTTTCTCTTGAGATAATAAGGGAAAAATAAATGGTGATCAAATAACAAAGAATTAGTATTACAGATGACAGAGTATTTCCACTAGATGGTTTGGATGAACCAGAAAACCCAAAAGAGATTTAGGAAGGTATTAGATTTAAAGGGAGTTTATATCTAATATCCTTATCACAACCCAGGTCAGTATAAAGTTAGCGGTCAGTAGTATGGAACTTCAAAGTGCAGAATCCGTAAAACAATCTGGGTCGGCAATAGGTATCAGCAGGAATTAAGGGGAATTCAAAATGCAATCTCCGTTATACCATCTGGGTCGGTAACAAATGATCAGTTGGTAAAATGGGAAGTAAAAGAACAAAATCATTTTAACAGTCCTGGTCTGCAAAATGTATTCAGAAAAAGATCTGAAAGAGGCAATTCAGGTAACAATCCGAGTCATACACAGTGTGAACAAAGATGAAGAGAGCTCTGAATAACACAAGTTGATGCTGAAGTGTTGGACCGCTTTAACCCCTTAAGGACACATGACATGAGTGACATGTCATGATTCTCTTTTATTCCAGAAGTTTGGTCCTTAAGGGGTTAAAGTAATTCCTGTTAAGAGGAACCAATTTAGTGTGCACATTAAACACATTAACAGAGCAGGGAAGCTCTGATGGTGCATTCTTTTTGCAGAGTGTGTTAAGACCTGTGTCTCTTAAAGATATAGTGCCTCAACAATAGTAAAGAGACATCACATTTATTACACCCCATTACACAGCTACCTCTGCTGCGTACCTATTTTATACCTATTGTGGAATTCCCTTACAAGATCAGGAGCAGCAACATGAAAATAGGGTAACCCTTTGTTATACATATCATCGTAACCCTTCCATTTGACTAGATAATAAAGTTTCCCATATCTTATTTTGCTATCAAGGATGCATTCAAATAAATATTATTCTTCAGCTGTAACGAGGTTAGGAGAAGGAGGTTCAATGGAAGGCTTTGAATCATAAGAAAAGAAAGGTTTAATAATAGAAACTTGAAACACAGATGTATTTTCATGGTAGTCTGAAGATCTAATTTAAGAGTAACCTCATTAATCTTGTTTAACATTTTAAAGGCTTATAAAGGTATGGAACATTTTCTAGAGGGGTCTGTAAATTGAGATGTTTAATGGAGAGAAGGACCTTATCACCTATAGATTACTTGGGCAAAGGGCTTTGTTTGGTAGATGCTTAAAGAAAGTCCATTCAACTTGTTGGAAAGAGGTAATATATTGTTCAAGAATTCCATTCAGTTTTTCTGCTTGGCCATTGGTCTGTGGATGGATATTGGTGGAGAGTGTATTATCAATTTGTAAGATTTGGCAAAATTCTCTCCAAAAATGAGAAGTAAATTGTACTGTCAGTGGTAATATCTTCTGGAATTCCATGCAATCGGACGTATACTGTTATAAACGTTTTGGCCAAAGTAAGAGCAGCAGGGATAGAAGAGATAGATTTATGAAAATTGGTCATTTCATTACTATCTATCAAGAGGTGATTATGAAAGTGCTACATTCTGAATGGGTCAGATCGACTTTGAAGTCCATGTTGATAGAATGCTATGGTGTAGGAATCAGAAAAGGTTGTAATAATCCAGTAGGTAATGAATGGCATTTCCTTTTCTTTTAACAGGGAATACATTATTATATTTAATGTCTTTTAGCCTGTTGCTAATTGGGCCACCAGAAATATTTTTTGCATAATGTAATGGTCCGGGAAATTCTACGATGGCCAACTAATGGATTATCATTTATATAGACCAAGATTCTGTTTCTCATTGACTGAGGGATATATAAGTTTAAATCCTTATACCGTGATCCATTTCATTTATCCAGGTTAACAGTGATTGGTTCATCAATATCAGAATAGGCTGCAGAGATATCATGTGTGAGAGCAGTTAAGCCAACTACTTGGTTGATTTGAAAAATGGATTGATGGTCTAAAGAATGATCTGGATCAAAGTATCTTGAAAGGGCACCTGCTTTTCCACTCTTGCAACCCGATCTAAAGGTAATATGGTAATCAAATCACTCAAATCTTGCTAATTTGGGGTTTAATCTATTTTTTTTTTATAGATACTCTAAATTATTGTGATCTGTAAATAAATGAGGGATGGATATAGAGACTTCATTCCAATAGATATTTCCATTTCTCCGAGGATACTTTAACCCCTTAAGGACACATGACATGTCTGACATGTCATGATTCCCTTTTATTCCAGAAGTTTGGTCCTTAAGGGGTTAAAAGACAATAATTATGTTTCCCCTGTACTACATTGTATTCTGCAGGAGAATTTTTTTTAGAAAGAAAAGCTATAGGATGTGAAGGTTGAGTAGTGGATTCCTTTTGTGAAAGTATTGCACCAATAGTGATGTCAGAAGCATCAACCTCAAGAATATAATGAGTTATAAGAATATAAAAGTTTGTTTTAGTATAGGAGCTGTAATGAAACATTTTATTTTGAGAGTCAAAGGCTGCTTGTTCTTGTTTATCTCAATGAAAAGGATAGTTTTGTTTTGTTATATTAGTTAGGAGAGAGATAAAGATAGATTTATTTTTTTTACGGATGTTCTGTAAAAAAATTGATAAAACCTATAAACCTTTGGTCTTCTCTTTTATTTTTTGGACTTGGCCATTCTTATATAGCCCAAAGCTTTTTGAGATCCATTTGGATAGAAGATTTGGAGATCACATACCCCAGGAAAGGAATTTCTGATTTGGCATATACTTTGTGAACTCTTAAATGTTCTAATACCTTGTGGACATGTTTAATGAGCTGTTGTTTATAATCATAAAATATAAGAATATCATCTAAATATTTTACAATGTTTTCATTGAGAATATTCCTAAAGACATTATGTATGAAATGCTGAAAGGCAGCTGGTGTCACGGGTTTGGGGTGAATGGGCTCGGTATGCAGAGATGTATACGGGCACAGTCTCTGAATTAAAAGGTTTTTCTTTTTGAAAAACAAATGAATATGATGCAAGTCCCAATAGTAAACAAAGCAATTCATTCATAATAAAATAAAAGTCTTTAAGGAATAAAGTCCTTTTACGAGAGTTCCAGCACTTGGTAAATGAAGAAAAACATGATTGAAGCTGTAGTTGAATTGCAGGGAGAAAAAAATCAAAGCTGGGACAGCATTGCAGGAGTTATGCGAAGTTGAATCAACATTGCAGGGGTTCATCAAAGTTAAAACAGCACTGCAGGGGTTAACCAAGATTGAATCAGCATCAAAGTTAAAAAAAAAAAGCACTGCAGTGGTTAACCAAGATTGCATCAGCATTGCAGGTTGAAGGCAGGTACCAGGCAGGCAAGAGTTGATTCAAGGGAATTCCATAGGTGAGGGTAATCAATTCAGTTCAGTCAGGAGCTGGCTCTGTACTCCAAGGGAACAACAAAACAACTGAGCACAGACCCAAGGGAGGTCTGTGCTTAAAGAGGGTAAAGGAAATGGGAACCCTCACATGAGGAGGGGTCTAAGGGCCTATATAAGTGGAGAGCCCTTTTGGGTAACTGGGTGTCCACACCTCCCTGTAGCTGAAAGCCATTGATCCACAAACTGCTTCCCGGTAAACCAGCATGTGTCGCACAAGGTTCTGTTAGCCTGAGGGAATCCTGAGGCAGTGTGGGGGTCATGGCACATATATTACTTGGTCTGTCCACCACAGGAGGGCTACGCCGGCGGACGGGTAGAGTCTGTGTCCCTTCCCCCATAAGCCTCATCTCACGTGGCGTGGTTGTGGGGTTCGCGGGAAACT